TGGATTACAAAAAACTCGAATACAAGTATTAACAAAAAAATCTAATACATAGGATAACAAAAAAAAAAAAAAAAAAAAAAAAAAAAAAAAAGAAAAAAACCGTACGGACTTCCCGATTCACTGTTTGGACTCGCCGATTCCGTACAGTAAATCGGCGAGTCACTGTACGTAATCGTTCGGTTCTCTCTAGAACCGTACGATTTCCGATTTTTCAACCGATCCGATCCCTTTTCGCGAATTCCGAGTCGACGTTTTTTAAAACGCTGGTTGGAGGGATGCCGGAGCAGAGGCAGAGGCAGACAAAATCCAAGGGATTTATAACCCAAAATCTCCCTCGTCACAAAGTCCAGAAACTACGACAATCCTGGGGTTTTAGAGCTTAGAATCTCCTCTCTCACAAAATCCCAAGAAAACGGAAATAACAGGTTTTTTAGCATGCAATCGACAACCTCCCAAACTTGTCCACTGAAGCAATTTTATAGCTGAAAAGAGACTATTGAGTTTAGGACGCGATACAAGGAATAGGTGGTCAAGGTGGGCGGTGCATAACATCTTGAATTGAATTTTATTACAAGAAAGGGCATAAAGGTTCTATCCTAACCCTGCCATCCATCTATCCAATTTTGATCAAAAGAGCCACTCACCGTTTGATCTTAAATTCGACATCTCAAAGTATTTTATTTTTAGTTTTTTTTTATATTGTATGAATAAGAAATTTAATACGTGTTATCTATTCATTGGAACGCACCTATGAAAAATATTTAAAATAATTTTTCAATAAAATATAACGACCAAAATACACTTGAAACTTTCAAAGATATTTTGATCATTTTATTTATGTAAAATATTTTTTTATAATTTTCGCTAGTCCGAGTTTAATAGAAGAATTGACATGCAAGATTTGATACCTAATAGTTTATAGAAAAAAAATTAAAAATAAAATTGTAAAGACAAGATGATTGGGGCAATCTTAACCCTCCATTTAGAATGGAGAGTTGGATAAAGGGAAGTATGAGTTTTATGGTGTAGGGGAAACATAAAAAGCTTGCCCTTTTATTCCACCCTCCGCACAGATCTACCCAAAAGAGACAAAGAGAATCACTTCAACAAATATTAGAATGTTTACTACGTAACTTTCAGTAAGCTTACCTTCAAAAGATAAAAATTAAAATAAACTTTTTACGGCTGTAAAAGGACATTCCATTAAAAAAATAAAAAAGGATTTGCAAAGTCATCGTATAACCTACAAAGGATCGCAGATGACTGTTTGACTTCCAACCCAGATTGCAATTCGGAGTAAATGGGAATTTAAATCCACATAAGTGATAAAACCTTCCAATATGTACTCTGAAAGCAAATTGTCCCCATTTAATTTCCTTGAATACACATTGTGATAAACATAAGTATTAGTCAAAATTAATTATCTTTGTTTCAAAAAATGAAGGTTTGGAGTGCGTTATTGACAAGGCTTAAAGTCCATAAAAGGATTTTCTTGAACTTTGTAATACAACCTAGGTGAGAGTGAATTTCAAATCCAAGGGCTTGCGGTGATTGTGACCTTTGCTGTAACAAAAGCAAATAGCCGGTACTATATAACTGGTTTTTGTTAGGACCTCAGATCAAAAGAGAATTATTTACTTTGACAATGATCCAGTGATGTTAACATTATATAACAATTAAGCGTAAACAACCATTTCAAATGCGGTGCAGCATATACAAGGCGGCAATCAGCTGCAGCCATCATAGTAGCCATTATAATGGTAAAAACCAGCGTTACTTAAAACCGTATTTTCACTGGACAGTAGTTGCACATTAAAGAAACCGGAAGAAAGGTGAAATTTTTCTCATAGGCTATATCGTTCATAAAAGGAGATCACTTATCATGAGAAAACAGTACAAAGGACTGACATACAGTTAACTACGAGCCACACAATAATCAGTCTACATGCATATATATACACATAAACAACATGACCATTTTCAACCACCATCTAGTGCCCACCACCATAACATCCTACAACAAATCTTGGACCATTTAAGATTTCTGCAGCCCAGATGGTTGCCGAGATTGAAATAATAATACCAAAAGTAAAATAAGTACCTCAGGTTCTTCAATAGTCAAGGGTACCAACAGAAGTAACACCAGTGCTTGGGTTCAAGGACTCATGGTCATGCGAGGTTGTATAATCCCTGTGGTTGCCATTGCTCTGTCTATGTAACTGGTCAACGCCATTGGTACCCATCATTTGTATATCATGGGGCGAAAGTATTTTGATATACCAAACATTATTTACAAACGCCCTGCGTCAAAACCAAAAACAATACAAACAGCACTCATGGTTAGAAAAGTGACAAAATCATCACTAAGGCCTCTCAATATATTTTTTGCACACAAAAATAATGAGTGCTGCTCCTAAGAAAGCTTCTCTGTCTCTCTTAAACAGAAATGCAAATTTGCAGTGGTGTATGGTATGCCAGCCAAAGATCCTAACATAGACACTGGAGACAATTGCTTCGGAATGGAATAGATAGTGGTAATCATGGTTAATATTCACCATCCAATATCTGGAATAGATAGCGGATGGCCCCTGGTGAACCATATATCATACAACAGGGGTTTGGAATACCAACCCATTCCCAAAACTCCTTGGTCTATAGAGCAAGGAACACAACCGATGTACAGTAGCAAGTCATCATGAGTGTATGGAACTAATTCTGGTGTTTTCTTTTATATTTTCTTCCTTTTTTTGTTTTTGGGGGGGGGGGAGGGGAGAGAGAGAGAGGGGAAGAGAGGCATACTCCCAAGGACCGTCGCCGAGGAGAAGCGCATCGTTCTCCCGGTCGACGAATACAAGCTGCCAGCCTGATCTCAGAGGGTCATCCAACTGCCCCTCAAGCCCGAACATGTCAGCCACCTTTCCTCGCAACTCCTCGTAGCTGCTGAACTGGCTGATGTCCAGAGTTCTCCCTACACACCCAGTCTTGTAGATCTACACACAAAACAAATTCAACTTCACAATACTCGACAAAAAATTCTACCACATAATAAAAATAATCAAGAAGCATATATATTATAGAAAACAAGCTTTTTACCTTTTATAAGAACAAATATCCTAAAAATAAAAAACCAGATTACTAAGAATAAATAATGAGAATCCAACCCAGCTTTACCTTTACTAAGATTGGGTTATGTGGTTTTCTCTGCTCCATATTATGCAGCAACCCCGAGTCATTGGGGCAGCCAAAAGCCCCGATAGAGGCAGCCTGAAAACCTTGAGCAGAGAACTGCAACAGTCCTGAGTCTGCACTGCCTTCCATAGTCCTGAGCCTTAGGGTTGAATCAGAGTTGGGAAGAATGAGAGAAGATGAATCTATGTTAACACCAAAAAGAAGAGGACCCTGGGTGTCTGAAGTCCCATTTTCATGCTCCACCATGGACTGGGGAGTATGAGTATGAAAACTTACTTGTTGAGGATGGATCATGCCCTGACTGGTCTTTTCCATATTCAAAAGGGTGGCATTTTCATCCGAATAAAAAGGACCCATGACACTTCGTAAGCTAGAGAGAGAAGGATTGGAATCTGCTGTTTGAAAGCTAGAGAGGGAGGGGTTTGAATCTGCAAAAGCTGATGGGCGGCCATGGGTGGTTGGTTGAGAGAGAGAACAGGAGTTTGAAATCGCAAGTTGGGACAAAGCAGTGGTCGCATTTGGAACATGGAACTGCTCATGATGGATTGGATTACCAAATGAGTGGTTTAGCTGGGATTGAAGAAGATGGGTCTGGTTCATATTTTCATTTACAGTTGGGTTCTGGTGTGTGACACTTTTTTGAGAGTTAGATTGCTGAAGAAATTGCCTTTGTAGCAATGGGTTTGAGAAGCACTGATACTGGGGTTGTGCATTGAATTGTTGTTGGAACTGAAGAAAGGGAGCTTTGACAAGATCACCACTTCTTATTTCTTGCAAGGCTGAGGCAGCCAATGCTTGGTAGAAATTGGATTCCATTCCTTGAAGAGATAGGTCAGGCCTTGGTTGCATCCAAGGGTTGCCTATGCCGAGATTTTGGCAGCTTGGGGACTGGAGGGCAGGGATTCTTTCTCCATTATCCCCTCTCAGCCACATGACGGGATTACCTTCATCATCTTTATCATCTGCAAGGCAAGCAAAGAGAAAATTCAAACAGTTGAGCTCCTTCAGAAAATGGAAATTCAGTTTGATTGCACCAGTTAAACAGAACCAGAGAAATAAAATCAGATGAAAAATAACCGTGCGGAATTCCTGTGTCAATTTAAAACAGAACAGAGTAGGTTACCAGTTAATCATTCCTTTGATTTTTGGACAGGCCAAAAGTATCCCAAGGCTTTTTTGTCTCTTTATAATGTTTGCTTTCTTAGTAACACTTTTCAAGTTAGAAAGTAAAGAAACGTTGAGACACCAGGGGATATTAGACTTTCCACCTTGGGATATCAAGTAGCATTAGTTTTCTTTGGCAGTATGGAGAAACAAGAAACAATAGATCCCTAGCAGAAACACTGAGGCCAAAACAGAAAATAAGCTATGTCCTCACATTCAATTAGAAAATATGGATTTGAGCCATTATTCACTGCATAAGTATGGGTATAACTTCCCCAAACATGACAAACGAGAAAAATCTACCATGAAAAGGATCAACTCCAATCCCGTATTTCAAGATCGAGTCAAGCAAACAAAACAAACAAATTAACAAAGCTGTCAGTGACCCTCCACCATTGGAGTAAGTGTGCACCTCAAGTCCTAATATATTATAACAGAATTACAGATTGCATGCGAACTCTCTAAAGGGATGTCAACATCTCCACAGTGATTATGTTAGATCAATTCGCAAATATGTTAGATCAATTCGCAAATTTCAAGCGAAACCTAGTCAATAAAGCAAATGTTTGTGAAATCCACCGACTCAACTAGGACTCAGCCAAGTTACTCGTCTCCCTAGGACGGACTCGGGCGAGAGGTTACCTGTACAGTACTCGGGTGTACAAACGCACCCAGGGTACATAGTAGAACTTGGGAGGAGTTGAAAAGACTTGCCTAAGTTCTACAGTACTAGAGCAAGTCGTTACAGTACTTGCCCAGGCAGGAACACACCGCCCATCCCCCCAGGGGGTGCGTTTCATTTGTGATAAACTTATCAAAATGCACCTAAGTGATGAACTATTTAACATTTTACCATTATTTTGATTTAATTTCAAATAATCCATCAATATAAACATGATCATGAGTTGGAATAGTTGAAAATGGGTAAAATGCTAAATAGTTAATCAGTTAGGTGCATTTCAATAAATTTCCCTTCATATTCTTTTTCTTTTAACTCATTAGAGCCCGTGTTTCAATCCAAATTTTCAACCCAAGCTAGATTTCACTAGATCTACTCATTAGAAGCCCTGAATTCAGGAAAAAATCCAATAGGTTTTACAGATTGTGTAGATCAAAGAATTGGAAAAGTTTTTGGCTGATTTGTGAATTTTATTTTCATTGAAATAAATGGTCGATCTTTGAAGAAAATCAAACCTCAAGCCTAACTTTGCTCTCTTGATTCAACCGTAGGCTATTTATTCCACTGAAAGAAACAAAGGAAAACTATAGTTCTGCATTTTGGATTTACAATTTATCCAAAAATTTTAAAGGCTTGAAACTCCTAAATTGGAAATCAGAACCCAAAATTGGTTTGATTCGGGCTGCATGAGGAAGCGCTTTGACAAGGATTTGAAGCTTTTGATTCACACGGCACAAAGATAGTAAACTCAGCCTCAATGTATCAGCTAAATTTCATTTTTATCTAAATAACATAAAATTGGTTTTCTAATTTAATTATAACATTTTATATAAACAATTTTTATATAGTATTATTTTTTGGAATTTTATATTTTCTGATTTTATGGAATTTACCACAACTTTTTGTAATTTTGTTTTGATCATTATTGGCATTTTTTGGGCTAGCACAGGACTTGGGCGAGTCCAGTCAGACTAGCAAGGCAAGAGTCCAGCAACCAAGCAGAGTACTTGAACAATTATGGAAACAGTACCATCAAGATGGAAAAACTCCGTTTCACCTCTCAAATATTTTTCAAATGAAAAGGACAATAGAGATAAAAGATAAAGTCATTATGATAGGGTGAAGATCAAAATTGGAAACACCTTATGGAAATGAGAGCAACTTTACTAAAGGAAAACACGTACCATAAAGTGATGGTAACCCAGGCTGCCAAGGACGTTTTAGCCTGAGAGCAAATGGTGATGGGTACATAGGAAATGTTGTCAAAGGTTCAATGTCCCATAGTGATACTCTCGGTTGCCTTTCACCGGCAGTAGACTCATCCCAACCAACCTGTAATTTAGAAACGGTATACCAAATTGTGAGATACGCAGAATGAAGAACTAGCATGCATGGGTGGTAATCACGATTGTGCCTTTGTGCTACCAAATTTACAAAACAATTTTGGAAGGAAAAGTGCTACTACTAAAATTGTTACAGAAATGCAGAGAGTGAAACACGAGACAACCATTGGGAAAGGACTATATATACATACACATATATGTTGGGAAAAGTCTTTGATGATTATGATGATGATGATATACATATATATCCTTATCATCATAATCATTCTAACAAAGCAAGTCCCAGGCAGTCAAAAAAGAATTAAAAAAAAAACAAAAAAACCCACTAAAATATCAAAAGTATATATAAAGAATGATTAAACAAAGCACAACCAATTGAAGTTGAAAATTAATCAAAAAATGAATTCTAAAGAATCAATTTGTGCCCAAGGGTATTTTTAAAATTTTCTAAAAAATATGAAAAATTGTAAAAATAAATATTAATGGAAAAAACAATTTACAGCTTTTGCTATAATGATGAAAAACATTAAAAATACATTACAAACAAAATCCCTTATTTTTTGAGATTTTATCCCTTATTTTTTGAGATTTTATATGATTTTTTAAAATTTCTTGTTTTCAATACCCGGCCGGTCACCAAAACCGGCCGAAATCAGAACCAGCCGGTTCTGATCTAATTGGGCAGCTCCCGATTAGAACGGGTGATTTTTCCAAAAATGCTCCAAACCATCCACTTTGACATCTAATGGCTAGTAGCAATTATGACTTCCTTGTAACAAGGACAAATGGTCTCATAGTATACAATCCTTATATATATATATATATATATAGGGAAGAGACCAATTACCTTTGGTACAAAATGAGACATTAATCTTGAACATTGGATATGAAATTGGGTGGCTGTAATTATTCCATTGACCAAGCTCAAACTTCACAAGAAATTTTCTCGAACTTTGTGACACATCCAAGCTATCAAACTTAGTGATACGTATTTTGCACCACTCGATGAAGATCTCACAACTGGGATTCCACCTATATTACTATTCATTAAAGCTGCCAAGTGTTCGGAAGGTTTACTCATATATATATATATATATGAGTAATGATACTATGAGACCCTCCCACACCCATGTGAGTAGGACCCCAAAGGATCACCCCATTAAATTTTAACATAGATCTCTAGAAAACCCATTCACCCAAGTCCCACACCAATGTCATAATATTTCAAGAGATCTGCGTCAAAATTTAACGGTGATCCTTCGAAGTCCTACTCACATGGATGTGAGAGGGTCTCATAGTGTCATTTCCTTATATATATATATATATATATGGAAAATGATCTTGTGAGCTAGTGGGATCACAGGTAAAAATCATCCCAACAGCCCAGATTCAATCTGGGCCAATCTGAAGATCAAACATGCCCGATAGTGTTTGAATTTTAATTTTTTTTTCTACAAATCCAAATCACTTGAAATTTTAGGCGTGCGTTCATCAAAAATAAACGAGTCTTCGAAAAATATCAAAAAAATATTTTATATGAAAAAATTGACCAAATTACCCCTATAAAGTTTCGAAGGTATTTTGGTCAATTTTGTTTTTGTGGATTATTTTTTTATATTTTTATTAACTGCGGCTTGATGAGAAGAACACA